AGTGGGGAGGGGGTGGAGTGGTCAGCATCACGCCACGGGAAAGGACCCCGGTATCCATCGGGCCCCAGAGCCGGTCTCGACTCGAACCCTCGTTGCAACATTTGGTAGGACTCCCCTTGGACGAGGAATGAACCCGACGCAAGGCCTTTGACCACGAGCGCTCACCGTGGCCGCCATAGGCATTCTCGGATGTCGACAGACTTTGGTAAAGCAGAATCAGGCGCTAATGACTCAGCTGTTCGTACTTCAGCCCACGCAAAATCGTTGACCTCGTGTTTATTCAGCAGCTCACGAAAGTAATTAATCCACCTACTCAGGAAATTCTGAGAATCTGGAAGCAAGTCTAGATTGGTAAAAGTAAAGTTTGTCCCACTATACGCCATGTAGGCGTTTGGGGTGAGTGGAGGTATAGCTCCCCCGAGTCATTTTGATGTCCGTATCATCACCAAACTTTAATTAGAAGACTTGCAAGTACAGTAGTCTAATGCAATTAATGACACGTCTCGGCCCTGCCAACTACCATCGACTGGTAGAAGCAGACTTGATTCTGAAACAGTGGATTTCGTGGTCCAAAGCAGGAGAGCGTCTGACGACTAATCATAACACAGCAGAGTAAAATGCGGACAGACATCCGGGAACCCAGCCTTCTAGAGGTTTCACAGACTGCATTCTACTAAAAACGTGGGTTTAACTTGAGACACATCGCCATCATTTCTACTTTAAATCGCACTAAGCTCGTTTAGGGGAACAAATGTATGACTTACGCGATTAGGAAGTACGCTCCGAGGTAGGTACTGTTGTCACAAACAATTAACATTTCTACTGAATGACACTTGTCTTATCAGCTGTCTTTCGCGTGTTTGAACCAATTTTTCACGAAGTTAGGACTGGAGGCAAAACACGTTGACTGCATTTTAAGCGGAAATGTGATTCGAAAATGATTTTCTTACACCGGAAACTGAAGGTAAAAATGGAAACTTGGCTGTCATAGTAGTCATCGCGCAGAAGACGAAGTTTCGTTTGTGCTGGGTGATAACCCTGTATGTCGCGAGGCTTTGAGTAAAAGCATGGTTATTTAAAATTAAACATGTGAAGTAAAATGAAATAATTTTTAATATCGATTTATTTTCCGTAACTGAGGCCGGTGGTGGTGTCTGGTGGAGTGCGCGTTTGGCAGGAACGTGTCTTCAGTCGACATGAAGGTATCCTTAAATTTAATTTGCTCCGTCAAGACATTTTATAAAATTTTCAATGGGATTTTCAAATATGACATTGCAATAAATTGTATAACTTTCAACACTTCACTTCGACCTGTCGACGAAGGCGCCACGTTCCTATAAAACCCTGGTCACCACCTACAAGACCACACGTCGTCACAAAGCAGGACCACGACCTGCAGATAAACTTCTAACTGTGCAGAGGAAGTTCAGGCCCCTAAAACTCTTTGCTTCTGCGACCGACAGAAGTAGAAGGACCTCGGTAATTCACTCACCTTCCATGACGTAGACGATGCTTCCCACTGCACCCTCCTTGATGATTAGGCTGCCCGCAGCGTACTCCACCGGGTACATGCAGTCCACAATCTCGCGGATCTGCGTCATCTCCAGGTTTTTCATAAAATCATTGTCCAAAATGGCGCTCCTTATGAGGTCCCGCGACCTGCAACAGTTGAACAGTGCTAGCTCAGGGCGAGAATCATGCTTTCTCCGTCTGGGGCCGTCACGTACGACCTAGAGACGCCGCTCAGTCTCCAAGACGCAAAACCTATTTCGTTAGACAACTGACGGTCCGCTAATCTTCCACGGCGTGCCCATTCAAAATTGCAGGATTCCTAGTTCAACGCTCCATTAATTACTGTCATTAAATCAAAGAAACCCTACGCATTTCGCACCGCTGCCATGTTGCTATCTAGACATCATGGACGCCTACAGCTGCTCCAACCTGGGAAGTTAGCTGACGGACTATACAACTGTTGTCAGCGATTCAAAAGGCGCATTCGACGTCAAAAAACATTTACGAAGAACGCATGCGTGTATTTCGGCACGGAATACGCCTCTCCAGTGTTGTTGTGGGTTCTATGAACGGAGAACGTACCGAAATCTCATTATGGGCTGGTCGTGTCTGTCTGTCCAATCGATTCAACTTCAGAATCACTGGACGGATTTTGATGAAAATTGATGTGGAGGTTGTGCCATTCTGCACGACCTCAAAATCGTACTTTCGAATGTCCTACGAACGATGATAACAAAATGACGAATGAGGAAAGTCGTGAGGCGGACATTAGGCGCTGCGATCTTGTGGCCAAAGTGGGGACTATTGAAATGAAACGTGTTGAGGATATTATGTGTATTCTGGCACGGAATACATTTTCCGAGCATGTCCTGACACGTAAAATCCATTTATTACATTATACTCTACTGTATTATTGATACCTTCACAGCAGCATCGTAAACAACAAGGCGAGACAAGACTGGAAAGGGCACTCCAGGTGGAGTACGCTACATACAGGCCATTTTTCAAGCACGTTCTTTTCCATTGTATCACCTCAAAAGTATTGTTGATGCAAAGCACGAAGCTTGTCCAAAGAATACTTCAGTAACTCCGTTCATAACTAGTATAAAAGAGGCCGCTGTTCCATTACGAAACTCGGCGACTTGATATTTTGTAAACAATTGCTGTTTATTTTGGTAGCCGGACGAAACACGCAAATGCGTTGCAGATGCTGCATTCAGCCACAGACTCCGCTGTGCCGCGAAGAGCTTTCACTGCCGCGAGAGATCGGTCGGTTATTTGAGACCAGTTTTCCTGCGGCACTCCGTCTCATCTGCATAATTAAACGATATTATTCTTTGACAGAAAACACTGATAACGAATTGCAAAAAATAGGATGGGTCAGTTCTTAAAGACCCACGCCGGGCCCACCGATAGATACCCACTCACATCGACTAGACTCTGTATCGATTACAGGTGTTCCCTTCGTGTGGCCTGCGTTGGGTCGTGGTCTCGGCTTTCAGTCATGTTCGGTGCATGAATATGTATGAAGCTCGCATCTCCCGATACTAAAGAAGGCGAACCATCTTGTACTCTAATTGACACTATTGTTCTATATGCAAATTCTGGCTCCGTGTTTGGGAGCGCGGCCGACAGGGCACAGCAGTGTACAGTCGCTGGCCCATACCGAAGACGTAAGTCCGCAGAGGAGTCTTGAGAAAGTGGTAGTCGCTTAGTCGGTCTATATTCCCTATCGAATTCTCATCACCGAATCAGATTAACAAATTTCAAGATTATCCTCAAATCCAATACCACGACTCTATAGTGGCACCCCCCCCCCCAAGGCTACGCGACCGAAATTTTTAACGTAAATTTAGCGTTCCTCCCATGCATGCTACATGACCCGTCATTCTGAAAGAAATCAAATCGATAATTTTCTCGACGAGTACAACTTATGAAGATCCTGAATATGTAATTTTCTCCTCACACCTGTTTCTTCCTCTCTCTCTCTCAAGCCCAATTCGTTTAATAATGTTAAAAAAAAACATAATAATTCTCTGTTTTAATGGCAGAAGTTCCTTTCTGTCTTTAAGAAAGATAGATAAAATGATTGCCTAGAACGGTGTGCCGCCGCAGGGCTTGACGTGTGCGAAATTTTGTGACAAACTGTACGTTCACAGGTTACGGTTAGACAAACACAACAAATTATCCTTCGAAATTACAGTTCGTAAAGTACACGCACGCGAAGGCCCGTCCTATGTCGATCTATTCAACACGAGTTACGTTCGGTTTTCATACGCCTTCACCCCTAGACGACAAGAATCATTTCGTGTCCCCTCTCCGAGAAGCGAAATTACGTGTCTTTGACAAAGTAGGGCGTGGGGCAGGAGGAAAAATAATTACGTCGTCACTGCTCAAAATGACATATGCAGAATTTTTGACATTTTTCTGCAACAATCTTGTCTCCTTTGAGGGCAATTTCTGGATACGAGCAAATTTTTTGAATATCCACATGCTCAATCATTAGCGGTTGCCTGTCACAGGCACATTCCTGTTCGACAGTCTGATAAAAGAACTGAAAATGAGTTCAATTAGTCTCCCGAAAACACAGGTCGAAGCCCTCGCCCAGACCAACCAAACCTAACCTAACCTAATCGGGAATAGCCCAAAATAAACCAACCCTGACATATCCTATCTTCAACCTATCGCAACTGACGTTACCTGTCTGAAACTTAAGAAACATGCGGATTCGAAACAAATTTTCAAAAAATTTCAGAATTTCCCAAATATTTTCGAAATGCTCGAAATTTCAAAAATTCTCATAATTCTATAAATTTTCAAGATTTTAAATATTTTCCAGAATATTAAAAAAAATTATAAAATTATAAACAATTTAGAAGTTCTCAATATTCTGTGTTTTAAAAATTTTCAGTTCTCAAAAATGTTTAAAACTTTCAAAATCTTCAGAATTTTCATAAATGTCTGAAATTTTCAGAAATAAAAAAGCTTTTATAAATATTAAACATTTCTAAAACCTTAAAAAACATTTAAAACTTTCATAAATGTTCAAAATTTTCAAAAATTCACAAAATCAAAAATTTTACAAATAAGAAATGTTTAAACTTTTCGAAAATATAAAAAAAAACACTTGTTCCTCCTAACTTACATGAACCCAGCATAACCTAGCCTAATCTAACCTTAGCCAATCTAACCTAACCAACTCTATACTAATGTAACCCATCTTGCCAACCTATCGTAACCTGCCTGAAACTGACCAAACATAAGCAAATCCGAAACCAATTTCCAACATTTCAAAATTTTAAAAGCTTTTCAAAAGTTTAAAAAATTCGAAAATTTAAAAACGCTAAAAATTAAAAATTCAGAATGTAAAATTTTTCAAATTTCGCAAATATTCAAATTGTCGATGACTATAAACTTAAAGAAATTAAATTTTTTAAAGTTTAAGGATTTTAAAAATGTTTAAAACTCAATTTTAATAAATGTTCAAATATGCTCAAGATTAAAAATAAAAAATCGAAGAAACACATTTCCAAAACGTCATAACATTTAAGTGTTTCGGAAATTTTAAAAAAATTTAAAGTTTGAAATTTCTTAAATTTTTTTTTAAAAAAATTAAATTTTTAAAATCGTGTATGCCTCGCCGTCAGCAGTGTTTCGTATTCGGTACATTCGTGCCTCACGTCTCGGCCAAAATACCGACCACTCCCTTAGTGATTCGTCTGTCTTCGCCAATCGAAACTATCGTACAACAAGATAACAAACAGCCTAACCTACTCGGCTGACAAAGCGTCATTACACACCTAATGATCATCCTATGGAACAGTTTAATGTTCGAATTTGGTCCAGAAACTGCGTGCGCATTTTGCAAGCAGTCACTCACCCGCCTCCCACGCGGCCGATAAACCAGGGCACGGCCCCTTTCCAGGGGCCTGCGCCCCCTCCGGGCATGAACCTGATGCAAGTGACCAGCCGACAAGTCGGCGCTTTGAATCGAATCTCCCGCCTCCATCAGTCATCACAACGAAACATAAGACAGCCACAAATTAGTTTCTCAATTCGGGATGTGGGCATCAGAAATAAACAAACAAGAAGAATGCCTTTGCAGGAGCGCAGTTCACAGCGCGTCGGCTGTTCTGTGTACATCGCAAAACCTACCGCCGCGTTCAGCTCTCGGCACCAGATGGTGGAGAGTGGCCAGCTTCACGCCCCGGCCGCCTACACACACCCGACAGGGAGGAGGCGTGCAGAAAAGTCCGCGCCCTTCCGGAAAATGGTCCGGGTCTCTCAGAACGCACCGACGGCTATCCCAGGCTCAAGCCACACAAAGACACGTCTTTGACAAGCCACAGGACGGGGCGCGCGGTTAAGGAACAAGTTCAATGTTTGTCTTACGTATCTTCTCATCTCACTCGTGTAAATCAAGGAGCTGCTTGTTCCCTGCTACTTTTTAAGAAGACTGTGGTCACATGTTTGCCCACGGAAGTCTCTCTGGGTAGTCAAATTCTGATGGAATTTCGTGTTGCCAGATAAGAGTATTTCCGAACGCACTTCTGAACACGTGTTACATAAATGCAGCGAAACAGCACAGAAACTTTTCGCTTCCCACAGTCGTCACAGAAAATGTTTCTTCGAGACAATTATCGTCACGTCTACACGAAATGCGCCGATCCCGTGAAGATGGCCGTGCTCTGGGTTGTTTGTGAGGTCATGGCCCTGATGATGGAGGCAGCAAGGACTTCTGAAACGTTGGTGAACTTATACCAGACTACACGGCACAAAAACCCAGAAGACGGCCAACTGCCATCTTCGCAACCTGAGACGAATTTAGTTGCAATGGCTTGCTTACTCTGCCAATCTGAGCGTTCGCTCACACCGACGAGCTTAAAATCGGCAAAACTGAGCGAAAACTCGGGGGAGCTCTTAATAATTTGCCATCAGAGACAGCAACTACTGTTTTAAATGGTTCTGAAACTTCGACGCTTTACAATCAGATCGTTAAGCAAACCACAAATAAATATGAAACTGTCACTCTGAAGGAAGAACACACTGGATGGGTGTGTTCGTGAACAAAGTGACGGATCGAAGGGAACGGAAAAAGGTTGAAAAGGCACAGGCATTCTTCACGCCACATCTCTGGGACGTGGATC